ATGTCCCCAGATGTCCCCAGCCTGTCCCCAGATGTTCCCAGCCCGTCCCCAGGTCCCCCCTCACGTCCAGATGGAGTTGAGCCCCTGGGTGACGATGCCGGTGAAGCGCGTGGGGCCGCCCGCGTCCACCTGCAGCCACTGCTCCGTGTCCGCGTGCGCCGCGCACCAGCCGCCGTCGAAGGGATCGCCGTCCGACAGACCCGACTGACGGGGCAACAATTAACTCGTCTGCCCTAATTAACCCAGCGCTAATTAACCCGACATAGTTAACCCAAACACACTTAACCCTGCCATAATTAACCCCAACACAATTAACCCAAACACAATTAACCCGACACAATTAACCCAAACACAATTAACCCAGCACAGTTAACCCAACACAATTAACCCAATTAACCCGCAACACAATTAACCCCAGCCCAATTAACCCAATACAATTAACCCAAACACAATTAACCCAAACCCAACTAACCCAGCCCAATTAACCCAAACCAATTAACCCAAACCCAATTAACCCAGTACAATTAACCCAGCCCAATTAACCCAAACCAAATTAACCCAGTCCAATTAACCCAAACCCAATTAACCCAGCCCAATTAACCCGAACCCGACTAACCCAGCCCAATTAACCCAGTACAATTAACCCAGCCCAATTAACCCAAACCCAACTAACCCAGTACAATTAACCCAAACCCAATTAACCCAAACCCAACTAACCCAGCCCAATTAACCCAGCCCAATTAACCCAAACCAAATTAACCCAGTACAATTAACCCAACTCAATTAACCCAAACCCAACTAACCCAGCGCAATTAACCCAGCCCAATTAACTCAAACCCAATTAACCCAGCGCAATTAACCCAGCGCAATTAACCCAGCCCAATTAACTCAAACCCAATTAACCCAGCCCAATTAACCCCTGCAGTACCTGGATGTTGAGGCGGGCGCGGTGCGCTCCCAGCCCGAGCCGTTTGTGGCTGGACGCCCGGAGCTGCGAGTCCAGCACCCGCAGGGACTCCAGCCCCAGGGGGGGACACGCTGGGGACACCCAGGGGACACCCGGGGCTCACACCAGGACCCCCCAGTACCCCCAGGTACCCCCAGGTACCCTCCAGGTACCCCCAG